TGCTGCCCTCCTCGGCCGAGCGCGTGTCCGACTTGAGCTTGACGAACTCCTTGGCCACGTCGTCGTTGTTGCGCTGGGACAGGATGCGGAGCACGGTGAGCCCGGTGTCGTCCATGTGGATGCGGCGGCCCAGGGGCAGCCAGCAGGCACAGCCGGGGCGCTGCAGGATGTCCCGCAGCTGCAGCACGGCGATGCCCACCGTGCGGTCCTCGCGGGCGAAGCAGTAATCCTTCACACACACCTGCAGCTCGTAGCACTCCGGGCCTGTCTCCGTGCCCAGCGTGCTGGGGAGGGCAAGGGAGGGGCAGGGTTGGCACGGGGGAGAGGTCACACTTCCATCCTTCCCCGGCTCTGCTGCCTCCCCGCTGCCCAAAAGAAGCCTTTTCCTCTTTTCCTTTCCCCCACCCCCTTATTCAAGTGCTGTTCCAAGAGGGACAGAGATGACGAGGACTGGGGGAAAAGGGTGCTCGTTTTGGGACCGCCAACTCAAATTCAGGAGGTGTGGTGAGGGTGGGGCGAGGGGATGGGCAGTTTTGGGGCTGAGTGTAACCAGTGAGGAAACGTCCAAATACTATAATTAGATGGTAGTCCATTGCACACCCTATACTGTGGGTGTGCAACATATTCTGTGCACCAAAGGCACCACAATCAAAGAAGTGCTTTCTACCTTTCTATACTCAAAATGGTTCAGAGAATTATTTCTCCAATTTTGGGCAACGCTTCTACCAATGAGGAAACACCTAAAACATCCTGGGGGGGGGGATGAGCAAACTCACTGGCAAACCCCAGGAGGTCCTCACATGCTGGAGGCACATCCCCCAGCCTGTCCCCACACCCCCAGCCCATGGTGCCACTCACAACTGGAAGCTCTCGTTGTACTTGGGGGCCCAACTGTTGTTCTTGGATTTGGTGGCGAATTTCCTCTTCTTGTCGCTGAGGTGGGGCCCGATGATGTTGACCTCGATGAAGGGCCGGAAGATGCCCGACGTCTGCCACTTGAGGTCATTTGCAGCCACCACTGCGGGGAGGGGACAGGTGAGGCTCAGGGGGCACTGTCACCTGCCAGCCCCCTGGCCAGCAGAACCCACCTTTGACGGTGACTTTGTGCTCGCCAGTGCCAGGGTGGGTGATGAGCTCCACGTGGATCGACACCTCCCCAACGGGGTCCTCCACACCAGAGCCTGCGTGACACAGGGAGATGTGAGGGTCTGGCTTCAAGGTGTCCCTGATGTCCCCTGCCCACCACCAACCCCACTGGAGGAGGCAGGTCACCCACCACGGGGCGGGAAGGGGTGGGCAGTGGGGTTTGTCCCAAAGTGGCCTCTGCCACTGGTTGTGGGCACAGCAGTGTGGATGCATGGACATGGCAGGACATCCCCGGCACCAGGCTGACTCTGCCAAGTCCACAGGGTCCACTGAACCCCCCTTGCCCAGGCAGGGCTGAGGGGCCTGGCTGGGATGGGGCAGAGGACAGTGGTCCAGCTCCCCCTGCTCTGGGTACAGAGGGAGGACAGTGCATGGGCACAGCACCAGGCAGGAGGGACCCCATCAGGGCATCCATGGCCCTACCAGGGTCTCAAGGCTGCCCTGCCCCCCATACCCCTCCATGCCAGAGACCACGTCAAGCCCTGGGGTCCCCGAGCCTGGGGAAGTGGGGTGACCTGCGACCAACAGCTCAGCCCACCCCATCCCCCCCGAGAGCTGTGCATGCACCCACGGGTGAAGGAGGGGGCAAGGCAGAGGGACAGGCTCTGTGGGTCCCACGGGGCCACGGAGATCAAACAGGGCTCAGCAGAAAGCTCCCAGGGCAGGAAAACCAGTGGAAGGAGGACACGTCCCCACGTGTTACGGAGGGTGCCAGGTCGGGGTGGAGGCTGGCGATGGCACACTCCTGTCCATCCCCCTGGCACCCGAGCACAGCTTGAGGGCGGGATGATGGAGGCCTGATGGAGGCGGGCAGTGGGCGTGTCCTGGCATGGGAGGCCCAAGGGCAGGGGTACAGTCCCTGCCCCCCTGGCGGCCGGTGTGATGGAGGCAAGCAGCGGGGCCCATGGGGTCGGGCTTGATTCGCCCAGGAGCGCGCCGGAGCAAGGCTAGTAATGGTCCTTCTGGCAGCAGGGTGGGCAGGAGGAGGACAGGGTCGTGGCACGGCCCCCCCTTGGGCCACATGTCCCCAGGGGAGGTCATGGTGGGTGCCCACCCACCCCCAGGTGGTAGCACTGGGGACAATGTGGGGAGCCCAGAGTGTGCAGACAGACACCCCCATTCCCGTGGGGACAGCCCCCAACCCGCTCTGGGGGTGGCCAATGTGGCTGAGCACAGTTTCCTCCAAATTCACCCCAAAGCAGCCCTGGGAGCGGGAGTCTGGGGGTGGTGGGCTCCGGCTCTGCCCGCATTGGGGGTCCCCAAGGCCAGGGATGCTGGGCTGGGGACTGTTACTAGCCCAGGCCGGCAGCAGGCAGGGGCAGGGGCGGGCGAGTAGCACACGTACCCTTCTCAGGATAAATCTCTTCACTAAGGGTAAACCTAATCCCTTTCCCACCATGAACTAGTGGGAAGGAGAGAGAAAGAGACAGAGACACAGCACGGAGTCCACAAAGAGAGGAGGAAGGAGATGAAAACCAAGAGAGGAGGGAGGAGATGAAGAAGAAGAGAGGAGGGAGGAGATGAAGAAGAAGAGAGGAGGGAGGAGATGAAGAGGAAGAGAGGAGGGAGGAGATGAAGAAGAAGGGAGAAGGGAGGAGATGATGTGCATGGGGAACAGGAACAGTGAGGGAGGGGGGAGAAAACAAAGAGAGAGAAAGAGAGATCAGATCTCGCAGACAGACGGACGGCCAAGCACCCGGACAACACTGCAGCGACACAGGAGTGCCAGGCACCCCCAGCTCCAAGCCCGGGGTCCTGGGGCCAGGTTACACCCAGGGGTGCTGGCACCCACCAGACCCAACCCCATGCCCCCAACATGGCTGGTACAGGAGGCACAGACAGGACAGACGTCCTTTGCAGGAGACTCACGGACAGCAAACGCACGTCCCACTCCCCGAGGACGCAGACAAGCCTGGCTGGGGCACTCTGCGGTGGCCTCTGACCACCATCGAGCATCTCAGGCCCCTCCTCAAGCAGCCAAGGGACAAAATAAAGGGCAGTGTTTAGAGCTGAGGGGTGATTCTGCCCTGGAGAGTGCCCAGCACCCTGCACCACGCAGGACAGGGACGGGGAGATACACCTGGCACCCCAGATGCCAAATCGGGGGGGTGGGTACCCAGAGTGCCCAGGACAGGCCCTGGCACAGCATCTGGATCCAGTGGACCCTGTGACTGGTCTGTGCTGGGTGACAGGGGCCATCCAGAGGGGACAAACACCGTGACACCTGGCCAGAGGGTGACCTTCCCCCCACCCACAGGCCCCATTTCTGTGCCAGCCCAGCCACGCCCTGGCACTGGGGACACACTCCTTTTGCTGGTGGAGACTGGGGAGTGCCAGGCTGCCACAGGGCACCCATGGCCCCAGTTCACCTGCAAACCATGGGAGGAAAAGCCCTTCCCTTCCCACCCATCCCTGCCCCTGCTGTGGGCCTGGCTGGGACCCCGCTGGGACAGAGGCAAGGCAGGGCCCAGGCCTTGGGGCAGCCGAGCCCGTGGGGGGGGCTGTGGGCCCAGGTGGGGCAGGGCAGTGTGTCCTACCCTGTGAGGACTGGGTCTGCACGAAGGTTTTGATGAGCAGGTCCGTGGCCTGGGTGTAGAGGGACAGGGCATAGCGCAGAGACTGCAGGTCCGGGCTCTTCTCCAGGAACGTCTTCTTGAGCCCCACCCCGCCGGCGTGGAAGTATTGCTGGAGGGGGAGATGGCTCAGGATGCTCAGTGCTTCTGCTGTGCCTCAGGGTCAGAGCCCCGGGGGCACCCTGAGCCCCCCAGTGTCCTCACCTTGATGGTGTCCAGTGCCAGCTCCACCACGGCACACTGCTTCGGGGTCAGGCTCTTGGCTTCCTCCCGCACCATGTGGTCCTGGGGGGCATGAATCCTGCTCTCAGCACAGCACCAGGACCCCGCTCCCCCCACGCCAGACATATCAGCAAGTGGGCACTGGAGGGGCCCTTGCAGCAGTGGCACTGCCAACCTGCACAGTGCCACCCAGCACAGAGAGGAACCCAGCTCCCCCAGCCCAGCCCTCACCTTCAGCTTGGAGACCCCCAGCCCAGCCCCCCAACCCTCACCTTCAGCTTGGAGAGCTGCCCCAGCTCCTTGGCTGCGTTGAAAATCATCTGGGTGCCCTGCAGAGAGCAAAGAGACAGGGACGGCTCCCGTGAGCAGCCGGGCTGGGGGTGCCATGGCCAGGCTGGGCACGTCGTGCCAGAAGTTTCTTGCAGCTCCAGGGGCTCCCCCAGGCTCCAGGGGACCGGCCAGTGCTCCTTGGAGAGCCTCAGGTGCCACCACTCAGGCCAGAAAGGTGACACAGGACTGGCAGCCCCATCTCAGCCCGAGTTCTCAGCACAGGCTGGGGGCCTGGGGACCACAGGGCAGGACATCACGCTGGCATCAGGGTCCTCATGCTCTGCTCAGCACAAGAAGCTTGGCCTAAGGGTTCCATCCTGCTCCCTGTGCTCCAAGCACCTGCTTCTGAAGCCAGCAGAGCCTGGCAGGGCACGGCACTGACCGCACGGACACCGGACATGGCGGGAGCAGAGAGCGAGTGCAGGGGACAGTGGGCACGGGGAGGACACAGCCTGTACCCTGCAGTGCTGGCAGCCAGCACACACCCCCCTGGCACCTGGACCCATGCCCAGTCCCAGAGAGGCTCCCAGCCCCTGGGCACCCCAGGGATCCCAGGGAACCAGGCTGCCTTCGCCTGCCCTGTGCCCCCATCGTGGCAGGGGCCAGGAAGTCACCCCATGGGACCCACTGCTGTGGCAGCCCCGTGGCACGGGCAGATCCCACTCACCTCCCTGAGCTGGCACCCCTCACCAGGCTGAGCACAAGCTCCCCTTCTCAACTCCTCCAGTGTGCAAATGCAACTGGTTAAACTGGAGCACCACCTTCCCTCTCCCGGCACCAGTAGCTCCAGTCCTTCTCAACAAAGCAGTCCCGCCATCTCTCTCACTATCCAGTACCACCTGCAGGGGTCAGCCCCCTCTGTGCCCTCATTTTTCACCCCTTCCCATGAACCCTTTGTGCTCACTCCCCCGCCCACCCAGTTCTGTCCCATTAATCCCACCCTCGATGTCCCCATCTCCCCCAGCTGGCGGACGGGCTGGGAGCTGGGGACACTGGTGTCCCCCAACAGAGCACAACAGGACACTGTTCTGAGCTGGGGCCCCCCAAGCCAGAGCGCAGGGGACAAGGGACAGGGAGGAGGCGAGAGGAGGGAGCAGTGCCAAGTGGGGAGCAGAAGAGCCATGTCCTTACTTCAGTGTGACTGGGCAGCTTCACCCTGCTCTGGAAGAGAACAGCAAGGGACAGTTACTGGTGGCCCCAGCAGCTCTGAGCCACAGCTCCAGGCCCCCCACATCCTCCAGCCCTGGGCTCTGGCCCTGTGCTCTCCTCTGGCTGTGCCCAGCTCTCCGCTGGTGCCACTGCTTTGGCACCAGTTCACTCCTGCAAAGGCTCAGCCCCGGGCTGGTGATGAGTGTGCCAGGTTTCTCCTGGCAGGGAGGGCAGGTTTGCTCCCCACATTGCCTGGGGCTGGGAAATCAGAGGGAATCAGCTCTCCCAGCACACTCAGCACACTGGGCAGGAGCCAGTGTCCCCCAGGAGAGGAGGGGGAGCTGCAGGCACTGCCCAGACGGATGCTGGCATAGCTCTTCCCAAGACCCAGGATTTGGGAAGCAGGCAGACTGGGGGGGCAGTGCTGGGCCCTCACCCTGTGGTGAGGAGCTCCCAGATAGGGCAAGAGCCCACGTGCTGGAGAAAGCCCTTGGGGCAAGGCTGGGGGCTCAGCAAGCCCTGATGGGCCCCCCTGAGCAGGAGGGAGGAGCAAGCTCAGAGATCCAGGGGATCTCAGCAGCCCCAGGGCCCTCAGTGAGCCCAGCATGGCCCAGCATTGGGGGTCCCCTCTTCCTGAGCCCCCCATGCTGAGGACCCCATCCCCTCACATTCCCAGCCAGGCAGCTGGAGGGTGCTGAGGACTGTGGGGCAGTGTCCCCCAGGGGGATGGGTGACACCCCACACGTCCCCTGTGGGGATGGGTGACACCCCACATCCCCATCACAGGGATGGGTGACACCCCATGTCCCCCCCATGGGGGCAAACACCACACAGCACCCGTTCCCTACCCTGGGTGACACAGAACGGGTGACTGTCCCCCACCTGCACACAACACAGCACACCCCACCACGACACCACATCCAGACAGCACGACAGAGGAAGCACAGACAAGCCTGGACCTCCACAGCAGGCGGCTGTGAGGCCACGGGTGTGGCCCCGGGGCGGTGACACACACGGAGCCCACAGCTATTTACCTTCTCTGTCCCCTTGCCATGTTTTCTCAAGAGCGTGCCCTGTAGAAGCAATGTCAGAGGTTGAGTGTGGGGTGGGGGGACAGCGTGGCACAGGACACAGGGGGGGACAGGGCAAGGCTGGGCACAGGGCATGGCCACAAGCTGGTGGCAGAGACATCCCGAGCTCCTAAAAAACAGCCAGTGGGGGGATTGGGCCCTGGTGGGACCCACTGGGATACTGGGATATGGGGCACTGGTCCCCACTGGGAGAATCAGTGAGGGACTGGTGTCATCGGGATGCTGGACCAAGTGGTCCCCACTGGAATACAGGATGTTGCACTGAACTGGTCCCCACACCCTGGAGCTGGTCCCTGCCAGGATACAGAGATGCTGAGCCCCCAAGGGATGGTCCTCCGTGGGATACAGGGGGGCAGGGGCCAGCTGTGTGTGGGCAGGCTCTGGTGCCCCCACATCCTGCTCCAGCTCTGGCAGGTGCTCCCAGCACTGGGAAGGGAGCAGGGAGGGGGAGCTGGGTTTGGGTTTGGCACACAGAGCACTGGTCTGTGCAGGGCTGGGCCCACTGACAACCCCACACTGGCCCAGGCAAGAGAAACGGTGTGAGACGAGGCAGCAGTGCCATGGGGGGGTCTCAGGGTGGGCTGGGGCACGTCAGAATCAGGAGGTGGGATCAGGGAGTCAGCTGGCTGGGAAGCCTCAAGAGGCACAAGCAGCAGAGGTAGGGCCAAGCAGGGCTGCCAGAAGGGGCTCTGGCCCTGGCACAGGGTCATGGGTGAACAAGAGGAGCTGGTACACAGAGCTGACCCTATCCCATCCCCCACAGCCTCAGCAAGGCTGGGACATTGGGTCCCCACGAGGTCTGAGGGGAGGCTCAGCCCCAGGCTGCCCCCAGAGCCTCTCCAAATGCTGCTGTTGGACACAAAAGGTGTTGGGGGACAGCAAGGGAGTATCTGCCCCCTCAGGAATTGGCACCAGCACCCAACCACTGGCTCCCAACCCCACTGCTCTTCCTGTACAGGTGCCTGAGTCACAGCAGGGCTGGGGGTAGGACTGGGGATGGAATTGCCTTTCCCTTGCCCATGGCCACAGACTGGTCAGAAGAGGACAGAAGGAAACTGCTCAGTCAAAGCCATGCAAGGACCCAGCAGCGATGCCGAGGAGGGAACTGGGAGTCCAGGCTCCCAGGGTCATATCCTGGGCAGGGAAGGAGCCCCACAACTCGTGCCAGCAGCCTGACCCACCACTGAGCACCTGGGCAGGGACCACCAAGATCCTCCTCTGCCCTCACCCCACCACAGCCAGACCCCAGCCAGGGCCTCGAGGGGAAACTGAGGCACGAGGGGAAGGAAGAGCAGCCCTGACTCCCGGCACACACCACTCCCTGCTCGTGCCTCCAGCGCCCTTTCTGCCCCGAGCACAGAGCAAGGCAGGATCAGCCTGGGCTCGGCTGTCCCTGGTTCCGTGGCACTGCCCATCACCATCCCCTCCCACCCCACCACTGCCCCTGTGCCTCCCCACACCCCGGCTCTGCGAGTCTGTCCAAGACCTTCCCACCCACTGGCAAGTGCCGGCCAGGAGCCAGTGCCAGGTGGGCAGCACAGGGATGGGGACCACGGAGCTGGACCAGGTCAGGAGCCGAAGGAGGGTTGTGGGCAGGGCAAGGGCAGCCACACAAGACAAAAACCGGCGAGGCCAGGACCGACACAGAGCGGACAGACAGACAGACAGACAGGGAGCTGCCGTACTTACAATCATCTGCCATTGAGAGGCGAGAGGAGCAATTGGAGAGAACAACCGTGATGTGAGTGTCGGCCCCCTCCTCCTCCATCCTCCCCAGTCCCTGCTGCCCCACAGCAAGCCCTGGGTGCCCCCCACCCCTGCCAGAGCCAGGGGTGTCCCCCATCTGAGGTGCAACAGCACTGAGTGTCGCTGCCCTGCCACCACATCACATCTCTCCACAGCCCCCACAGGGGCCCCATCCCCATCTCTCCAGGCCCTCCTGAATGTGGGGAGGGGGCTTTGCCCCAGGGGGTCTCCGCTCCAGGTACCCCCACTCGACACTCAGCCCTGACAGGTACCCCCAGGGCCACTTGGGCAGGCTGTCCCCTGCCCTAGGGACCAGCCCCAGCATGGCTTCCTCCAAGGTTTCCTGACATCTCTCAGGAAAATCACCCAACAGAGCCACATGTCCATGCCCCCTTCTGTGCTCTCAGCACAGGGCCCATGGCCTCCAGAACACAGCTGGGAAGGGACTGGGATGGGGACTGGGATGAGGGCAGTGACACCATTTGGCCAAGGATGTGTTGGCCCAGCCAGGAGTGATATGGGGCTGACCCGAGCCAGGCTCTGGGCTGTGACAAGGTGCCAGTGAGGTGGCACCACTGAGGGCTGACAGGTCACCACTGCACCCTCCCTCCCAGACACAGCACAGCAGTCCCACAGCCCCAGAGAGCCGACAGAAAGGCTGGTGGCTCCAGAAACTCCAAGGAAGAGCCTGAGCCCAGCTTTGCAACAGTGAAAAAAGCCACCAAAGAGTGACAGGGACAGGTGTGTGGCTGGGTCAGAGCCCTTGGTGTCACCCTTCCCTGCCTGACCTCGAGAGAACCACCCCAGGAAGCCTCAAGATGCAGTCTGGGGCACACAAACAGCAATGTGACACGGAGCCTCAGAGCCTGTAGGAACCTCCCTCTCAGGAGGCACCATTCCCTGGGTTTGCTTTGCTCCCTTAGAGCACCCAGGGGCAAGGAAGAGTCCAGCTCTGCTGGGGGACATGACCCCTATCCCCACAGCATCCCCAGCTCTGTGAAACCCCCTAGCCCCACAGCAAGGCTGACAGGTAGTGGCTCCTCACACTCCGGGAGCCTCTGGATTCACCTCCTGGCAGAGACCGTGCCCACAGCCAGTGCTGATGGGACACTGCCCCAGCTCTGAGGAAAGGATGGAGAGGAAAGGACCAGTGTTCCCTCTTGGTGCCACAATGGAGGTGGCAGGAAGGTGCTTTGGCAAAGCCAGCCAAGAGGCTGCTGGGCTGCACTGGCACCTGGGGCACCTTTCTCTCTTCCATCCCTTCCCTGGCCAGGAGCTGGGTACAAGTCTGAGGAGGCCCACAGAGTGCCCTCAGCAGCCAGTGAGGGCCCCCTGGCCAGCAATGTCCCACACTGGCCCCAGTGGGTCACCAGTGTCTCAGGGTCCCTGCTCTCTGTCCCCATCACTCACCGTCTGGTCCGTGAGCGGGGGTAGGACGATGGTCTTCTCCATGGTGTTCATCACCAGCTTCCAGAGCTCCTTCAGCACCCGCTTCAGCACCGTCTTCTCGCAGATCTTGGCGAAGAGCGTCAGGCTGTGGAGAGGAGACAGGGCTGGAGGACCCCACAGCACTCCACATCAACTCTTCCCGAACACCCCGACCCTGCATGTCCCCCACACTCCTGGAGCAGGTCAGGAGGGGCGCTGGGGAGGGTGGGGGTCCCTGTAGCCCCCCACACTCACTTGCTGTCCAGGAGGTCCATGATGGGCTGCAGGACGTTGTCGGCGTCCTGCGCGACGCTGCTGCAGGTGCTGGCGGGGACGTTGCCGGTGCCCTTCACCTGGCCCAGGATGTCCCCCATCTGCTTCACACACTCCTCGATGTGTGGCTGGAAACTGGGGGCCACAACACACAGGCTCAACAACCCCCACAGAGCCCCCAGCCACAGCTCCTGGACCCCCACACCTCCCCGTGGCCCCCCACCCGTGCCCTCTCCTCCCAGGGGTACCTGGTGGCAAAGACTCGGCTCAGATCATCCAGGACGTTGTTGAGCTTCACCTGCAGTTCCTTGAGGATATCACTGGCTTCTGTGTCCAGCTGGAGGAGGGACAGGTTGGAGAAGTTGACAGGAACCCTAGACCAGCCTTAGTGGGGGTCTCTGCACCCCACATGTGCCCCTGGGCAGAGTGAAGCCCATCCCAGTCCAGCATGGTGGCAGAGCTGGGTGCCATGGGGTGGCACAGCGTGATCCCACACAGGAGTGAGGAACTGGGGTCTGCTCCCAGCACTGGGGAACCAGGGAAGGGGCTGCCTCTGGGGGGAAGGATATCATCCTGCCCCTCCACAGGGGTCTCTCCTGGAGCCCCCCAGTACGCACCTCCTTTCCACCCATGGCTTCAAACATTTTCTCCAGCTGGACACGGAGCTGCTGAATGTTGTTCATCAGAATGCAGGGCTGGAGGGGTGGGATGGAGAAGAGAATCAGCACCAACAAACATGGCTGGGACAGTTGCCCATGGCCCCAGGACCCTCCCACCCTGCACTGGGGGACATAAGGACAGCGATGGCACAGAGTGATGGCACACCCTGGCAGCACGTCAGGGACTGCCAGGAAGGGACCAAGGGCAGGACCACGTCAGGGGGACCCACTCTGGGGCTGAGGGGACAGCTGGGGTCACTGTGTGGGTACAGTCCTGCCCAGCAGCACCAGGCAGCTGACAAGCAGAGGGGAGATACGTCACCACTTTCTCCTTCTCCTTGGAGCAGTACGAGGCAAAATCCTTGGAGATGATCTCGGCGTACTGGAGCAGCACATTGCTGATGGTCTGCAGCCAAACAGGGCAGCAACCAAGGCACCCAGACAGCAGCAGGGATGGGGAAGGATGGAGAGAAGGAAACCATCAGTCCCACAGCAGTGAAACAACTCCAGGCCTGGATAAAACCCTGGGATCTCCTCACTCTCTGGTCCCATGGGTCACAGAATTACAGAATCGTTAAGGCTGGAAAAGCCCTTCAAGGTCATCAAGTCCAACCATCAATCCAGCATCACCGCCATGTTCACCACTAAACCACATCCTCAAGCACCACATGGACACTCTCCAGCCCCTCAATGTCTTTCTTGTCCTGAGGGGCCCAAAATTGACCCCAGGATTTGAGGTGGTGCCTCAGCAGTGCCAGCACATGGGGACAGTCACTGCCCTGGCCCTGCTGGACACACTGTGGCTGGTACAAGCCAGGTGCCCTTGCCCTCCTTGGCCACATGGGCACACCTGGCTCATGTTCATGTGCCAGGAGCCACATGGACACAGCCACTGGAAGCCAGATCCAGCACATCTGGTCTCCATGGGCAGCTTCATCACCAGCACACCAAGCCTGCATGTAACTCCCTCGCACATTGCAGCAAGCCAGTTTTAATTAATCTATATCAATTAACCAAATAACTGATTAATTAGCTATTCATTAATTAATCTTCTGTGCTAGAAAAGCTGAGAGTGTTCCAGGGCATGTTGGTGGTACATTGGCTGTCAGAGGGAGCACATTCTGTGCCCTGTGCCCCTGTCAAAGCTGGATGGAGGTGTCACAGAGAGCCCAGGAGCCCCGGGCAGGGCTGGGACTGGGGTCCCAGAGGTGCTGATGACCCCCACCAAGCCACCCACCTTGGCAAACCTCCGCATGTAGTGCCCAACAATTTGAGGGTCGGGGCACTCCAGCTTCTTGATGATCTCGAAGCTCTGGTTGAGCTGGGAGAAGACATCCACCACGGAGCAGGAGAAGAGGGCGTGCTCTGATGTCTGCTGGAACTGTGGGAGCAAGAGGCGGCGTCAGCAGGAGGCAGGGACGAGATTTTGGCCCCGTGAAGACACACTTGGCATCAAAGAACGAGCCCCCTGGCCCCCAGCTGCAGCTCCAGCCATTCCTACCCCGTCCTTCTTGTCCCGCTCCAGCGCTCCGTGCAGGAAATCCCGTGACACCTCTTCGTTCTCATCCAGCCACTGGATAACGAAGGGCTCGAACCAGCTGGAAGGGAAACCCACCCGTGGTGAGGCCTCCAGCCCCCGGGGTGCCAGCCCCCCCCTGCCCCCAGGGCTGCACTCACGCGGGGTACTCGGGCACGCGGGTCTTGAAGGAGGGCAGCTCGGTGACGTACTCGTTGTACAGCCACTTCACCTTGAAGTGCAGGTTCATGTAGTCTGCGCTCTTGCACAGCCGGTGCTTCTCGTGCTCTGCACAGGGAAGGGTGTGGGGGTCACTCTGAGCCCCAAGCCTGGGGGGGAAGCTCCCCAGGGGCAGCTCCAGGGATGCCAGGTTAACAGGGGGAAGGTGGAAATGCTTCCTGGGGGGCATTGGAGCTGGGCATGGTGTTGATGAGGAGGGGAGATGGGTTTGCCCAGGGAACAGGTGAGGTGGGAGCAGAGGGTGGCTCCTGTCTGGTTCCCCTGCTGGCTCGGGGTGGGGGGGGACTCACCCTCCATCGCATACTTCATGTCCTGAGCAAAGAGGTTCCACATCACCTCAGCGCTGATCTTCCCCACGTTCAGTTCCTGGGGGAATCTGGGGCGAGGGGAGAATGTGGATCACAAAATCATTTAGGTTGGAGAAGACCTTCAAGACCACTGAGTCCAACCTTTGCCTGATCACCACCTTGTCAACTAGACCATGGCACTAAGTGCCACATACACTTGTTCCTTGAACGCTTCCAGGGATGGTGACTCCACCCTGGGCAGCCCCTTCCAATGCTTAACAACCCTTTTCCATGAATTCTTCCTCATGTTCAACCTGAACCTCTCCTGGCAGAGCTTGAGGCTATGAACACAAGCCAGACCAGCCTTCCACATGGAGAGACATCCCCCACACACTTCCCACCTGCCTCAGCTTTCTCATCTGTAGAATGGGTGTTATACACCCACTTCCAAAGGCCTCAGGTTCCCACTGCCTCCATGGGGGCATCCCCTCTGGGTGCAGCAGGATCCCCTTCCCCAGCACCTACTCACTGGTTCAGGCAGGGTGTGTAGGAGTTCTTGTCCTCCTCAATAATGGAGACGATCAGGGTGATGAGCTTGGACCAGAAATCCAGGTTTTTGATGCTGGGGCCCTGCTCCTCAGGGGGCACCTCGCCTTTCTTAGTCTGGAGGGATGAGGACACAGGGGAGACTCCAGTCACCCCACCTGCAGGGCTCAGATTTGTGTCAGAGCTAACAATGAGACAGGAGGGAACACCCTGGAGGCCCACACAGCCCCCATCTTGTCTCTTGTGGTCTCAACCCTGCAGCTTTGGAGCTTTAAGCCCTGCCCAAGATTAGGGACTCATTCTGCACCGGGCTGAGTGCTCTGGAGAGGGAGCAGGAGCACTGGGAAAAGGAGAAGGGCAGGGGATGGGGAAGGTCATTGCCCAGCACCCCCCCTGCCCCACGCACTGGGTCCGTCTGGTACTCGCGGCTGTAGAGCTCGTGGCAGTTGTTGAAGATGTACTCGTAGGTGGAGTTGAGACAGGCCTTCACACAGTCCTTCACCACCTGGCTGGCTCGTGGGGGGCTCTGCAGCTCCTGGACCTGGAATGCAGGGAGGGAGTGGCGTTGGGGGCAGACCCACACCCCCAGCAACCCACGCAGGGGCACCACGGGCCAGAGTGACCTCAACCCCCAAAGAACCAGGGCCAGTGAGAGTCAGATCCCCCCCAAACACGGGGCAAGTGGGGCCCCAGCAGTACCTTCATCCGAAAGAAGGTGATGCTGGTCAGCAAATCAACCGTGGACTTGAGATCCTGCAGCCGCTCGGGACTGCTGGCAGGGAAGTTGTTCTGGGAAAAAAAGAGGGGGCGTTGCCCACAAAACTCTCACAGGGGAGAGTGAGGGGGAGGAAACAAGCCCGCTGTTGTGTCAGACTTTATCAGCCAGGCGGGGGAACCGAGGCAGGGCAGGCACCTTACCCGGTACATGGAGAGGTCGATGCGCAGGGAGTTGTGCAGCTGGTCCAGGAGTTTGACGAATCGGTCTTTCTGCGGAGAAACGCCCCAGGGCAGGTAAACGGGGGAAAGGCGGCAGAGCCCGACCCCCTCCCCCCGCCCCTGGCTCTCTCTGCTCCCGGCCCAGCCCCCGCTGCTCCCGGCTCATCTCTCTCCTTCCTGCTGTCCTGCTGCCCTTCCTTCCCTCCTGCCTGAATCCAAGCCCTGCAGGGCAGGGTGTGCCGGCAGAGCAGAGCCGGTCCTCGCTGCTGGCCGGGGCTCGCTCGAAGCCCTCGGCGGCTCCCGGGGTGCGGTCACGCCGGGTGTGGTGTAGGACAGAGAGGTGACACCACGTGTGTCCCCTGTGCTGGCAGTCACTGCTGGGGGGTGACAGGCTGTTCTGTCTGCCCTGACCACTGGACCACCTCAGGGCAAGAGCTGGGAGAGTGGGTGCAGGATCTGTAGCCCCTGGATTGAGGCTTTCCAAGAGCTCAGGAAAAAGGACAGGGAAAGGGCTTGCAGTGGTAGCCCATCTTCAGAAGCTGGACACCTCCATGGGCTCCTGGCTCTCCCCACTGGGCTGCATTGAGGAATGTGGGCAGGGAACACCCCAGGTGGGTGGTCTCCTTTGGGGCTGAGGGGCTTTAGTTCAGCTCAGCCCAGCTCCCACCCAGGGAGTGCAGGGCAGGGGGACACAAATCCCACCTTGGGCTGCAGATCGGATTGGGGGTCAGAGCTGAGGGCAAAGCAACCAATCAGAGTCACAGACTGGTTTGGGTTGGGAGGGACCTTAAAGGCCATCTCATTCCACCCCTGCCATGGGCAGGACACCTTTCACTAGATCAGGTTGCTCAGGGCCCTGTCCAACCTGTCCTGGAACACTTCCAGGGATGAAACCCTGGAAATCACCACCTCTCTGGGCAACCTGTGCCTGTTTCTCACCACCCTGACAGGGAAGAATTTCTTCCCAATAACTGCCCCAAATCGCTGTCAGGGGTCATTTCCCTTTGCATCCTGCTGGGGAGAGGCTTTGCACAACCCCGTGGGCCTCCCACGAGAGCCCTGGGTTCCCCCCAGCACCGGCTGTACGGGGTCAGGGCTGACCCGCGGGGCTCCGGAGAGCCCGGAGCAGCGCTGCGAGCCCTGGGGGACAGGACCCGGGGACGGGGCGGGGCAGCGAGTCCCGCGCCCGCCCAGCTGCGGCTCGGCCGTGCCCGCAGCCTGCGCTGGCCACCGCAAAACTTCGGCACTCGCCCCCGGGACCGGCCCAGCCAGGCCCGGGGCCGGGACCGTGCTGGTCCCCGGAACACCCGAGGAACGGCGGAGCACTAACACTGACACGACGGGAGCTACTCAGGTTCAAAGCGACACGGCCGGCACAATTTAGGACCCAACCTTAGGCTCTCTTAAAAAAAGAGAAAGAGACAAGTTTTTAAAACCCTCCACGTCAGAGAAAAGGCGGTTCTTTTGGTACGGTTTCCTCCTCCTGTGCGATCCGGAGGCACAGCTCGCTCGGCTCTAGCTACCCCCTGCAATGGAGCGGGGAGGTGAGCCAAAGCTGCCCGGAGCTGTGCTCGGCCCTGGCTGTGTCCCTGGCTACCCAGCTCCTTGCTACACCCCGGGCTGGGCACTGACCCCGGCTCGACCCGTGTGCACCCAGAACAAGCAGCTCCTGCTCTGGGATGGCACGGGGGGAGCCGAGGCGAGAGCTCAGCCCCTCTTCACCCGTATCCCCAAGGGGCACCCGGCCCTGCCACAAACTCGCCCTCAAAGGCACCCAGTGGGTGCTGGCACAGCTGGATGTGTTTGTGGCAGGCCCGGGGTCACCCAAAGTGCACGAGGCCGTGCAAAACTCCCCATGAGCTGCAGCGGTGGCTCCTGGCCACCTGCTTCTGATTTTACCACCAAGGCATTCCCCCTCCTGCCACGCTGCCACCCAATATCCCGATCCGCTCAGGCTCCCACAATAATTCAGGGAGCAAATTTAGCCCTTCTCCCAGGAAGGCGGTGGCTCTTTTCCTTCCTGAAAAACGGGAGTGGGATGATTTTTGGGGCAAGCAGGGGATGGCCCCCCGCTCGCTGCTGCCTGGCTGCAGTTTGGAGCAGGGTGTTTTGCACGGCTCGTTTTCTCCCCGAGCCCCCCACCCCCTCCCAAAGAAAAGAGAGAAGAAGGAAAGAGTGTTTACGCACCATCGGACTTACCCCGAAATTGGAGGCGGCAAAGCGGTCGGAGGCGTTGACGTTGGTGGAGGCCGTGGTGTGGGCATAGTAGGCGTTGATGTTGGCGAGCAGGGTGCTCATCACTGCTGGCACCCCCGGGCACATGTACTTGGAGGAGAGGCAGGCAAAATGGCTGTGGAGAGAGGGGGAAGGTGAGGGCATAGGGCCATGGGAGGGCATATGGGCTCAGGGCCATATCCTGAGCTGGAAGGGACCCACAAGGATCATCCAGTCCAACCCCTGGCCCTGCACAAACACCCCAACAATCCCACCCTGGCCCTCAGAGCGTTGTCCAAACGCTCCTGGAGCTCTGGCAGCCTTGGGGCCGTGCCCACTGCCCTGGGGAGCCTGGGCAGTGCCCCAGCACCCTGTGGGGGAAGAACCTTTCCCTGAGATCCATCCCAACCCCCCTGGCACAGCTCCAGCCCTTCCCTGGGTCCTGTCCCTGGTCCCAGAGCAGAGCTCAGTCCCTGCCCCTCCGCCTCCCCTCGGCAGGAGCTGCAGCCCCCGAGGAGTCTCCCCTCAGTCTCCTCTGCTCCAGCTGAACCAGCCGAGTGCCCTCAGCTGCTCCTCAGACCCTTCCCCTCCAGATCCATCTCCAGCTCTGTGTCCCTCCTTTGGACACTCTCCAACAGCTTTAGATCTGACATGGTGCCCTCAGGACTTGAGGTGAGTCTGTGCCACAGTGCATTGAGAAGGGGAGGGATGGGCACAGGTTTGGGGCAAGTCTGACCCGTGGCAGGGAGGTGGGTGCCAATGGCAGTAGAGGAGGATGATGGGGACAGTGATCCCCTCTCAAGGCTGGCACAGCCCCCCCGAGCCTGGTGGAGGGCAGGTGACTCACGTCATGGCCTGGTAGATGGACTCCACCCCGTAGCGCATGGCAAACTCGTCCACGATCTCCTGTGCCGTCTCATCAAAGTACACCTTCCAGGCATCGTCCCCCTTGGCGTCGGGGATCTTCACCACTCCGTTGTTTTGCAAATCCGTCACAAAGTGGAACAGGTTCTGGGGGTACAAATGAGTCCCGTCAGGTCTCCAGGGCCGGTGGTGGCAGGGTGGCATCGCTGGGGTAGGGGCCGTGCCCCCCCATGCCTGCCTGGGCCGCTCACCTCGTGCAGGCAGGTGTACTGGACGTGGTAGGGAGCCACCTTCTCCTCGCCTTTGATCTCCACGCTGATGTGCAGCCGGATGGCCCCCGACACCGCCGACTTATCTGTCCGCTTGTCTGTGGGGCACAGGAGGGGGACGAGGTGTGAGGCTTCCCCAGACCAACCTGCTCACTCCTGGCCCCAAGGAGGGGCAGAATGCTCCAGGACAGAGGGTCTCTGAGGGCCAGAGCTGGGTGGACACCCAGTACCATGTGCAGCCAGGCCAGGGCACAGTGCCACCAAGGTACTGAAGAGAGGGATTTGGCCACATCTCCAGACACTAGAGATGTGGCCTCTCTGTGCCTCAGTTTCCCCTCTGCAGAGGGCTGATACTCCAGCCCTCCTGGGCTAAAGGTTCTGCAAATGACCCTGGGAAAACACTTGATCCCAATGGCTTCTGATAGGAGATGTTTTTTTATATATTTAAAAATTATTTATAATATTATATCTATATATAAAATCATAGAATCAGCTGGGTTGGAAGGGACCTCTGAGATCATCAAGTTCACCCCTTGATCCACAACTGCTGTGATTATATTTATATAAATTTATAAAAATATATTTGTATACATTTATATAAATTTTTATGTTGAAATAGATATTTATATTTGTATACTTATTGTATATATTTATTATATAATTTTTTTTAATAGTTACATTTATATTACTGGTGCTATAGCCCTTCAGGCCAGGGCTTGTAGCACGTCCCTCTGGAGCCCAGGGCTGGGGTCCCAGCCTGGCCAGGCTGTGTTGTCCCTCTGGAGCCCAGGGCTGGGGTCCCAGCCTGGCCAGGCTGTGTTCGTCCCTGTTGCGCCCACGCGGCTGGCGGTCCCAGCCTGGCCAGCGCTGTGTTGTCCCTTGGAGCCCAGGCTGCGTCCACTGGCCAGGCTGTTGTGTGTTGTCCCTGTGCAGCCCAGGGCTGGGGTCCCAGCCTGGCCAGGCTGTGTCACCCCCCCCAGGGCACAGGGCAGGGGTCTCAGGCTGTGTCGGGGAGATGTTTACCGAGGTTGTACCAGACGTCCATCTCCCCGCTCAGGGTCCGGACCTCGATGATGGTCTGGCCCAGGAAGTCGTCGGATTCCCTCTTGAAGCGCTGCTTGACGCGGGATTTGATGTCGTCGTCTTCGTCCCACACACGGACCTTGATGCGGTCAGAGGAGTTATGGCACTCACTGGGGAGGCGAGAAGGAGCAAGCCCTGGGATGAGCAGGGAAACCTTTCCAGCTTTTCCCCATCCTCTGTTTCCCTAAACAAGAGGGACCACCCCCACACAGGGCAGGAACTAGGGAAGAGGGCAGACCTGGGGGCACCAACCCTCCCCAGCTGGCTCAGCGCAGTCCCAGCACAGCCGGGATCAGCCTCTGGAGCCCAACCCTCCATGGCACAAAAACAGCACCCTGAGGGACCCCAGCACCCCCCTCCACCCTGAGTGGGGGCAGGACGAGGCCCAGCTGGCTCCCCCACTCCAAAGGGACATGCTGACAGCCAGCACAGCCCAGCACAGCAATGCAGGCAGATGAGGGGACTGGGGGTGAACTTACAAATGGAAATTCTCCTCCCAGACTGGGTTGAGATTGCCGTAGATAGTTTTAGTCCTTTTTTTTGTCTTTCCAACCTGGACAGTGACATAGGGGTCACTGGAACCTGTCTTATCCTTTGCTTGCAGGCCCTGGGCACAAACCACTGCAGCACAGCACGGCACGGGATGCACACCCATCCACACACGGCACAGGCACGGCACACATGGCAGAGAGAACAGACAGAGAGAGAAATCAGTGCCACAGCCACACCAAGACCCCCAAAACAGGCACCTGTGCCCCCACAGAGCCCCAGGGGCTGAAGCTGCTCGGCAGGATGAGGGGTTGGGCCATGCAGCATCCTTGTGCTGGGAACAGCCTCGTCCCCATGTCCAAAGAGGGCAGCTGCCTACCCGTGATGCTGATCTTGGCCGACCATTTGGAGGTGCCGTCCAGGACACTCTGCTTCACTGCCTTCATCTGCTGTGTGTGTGTGGTCTTGTTGACCCCAAACACCTCCTGGATCAGCTCAAATATCTCCGGCTTGTTGCGCTCCCGGATCTTCATGCGGTCCTTGAGCACCATGATGATGTTCTGGGTCCGGTCCTCTGCTCCGTGCTTGGAGCTCTTCTCTGCTGCTCCTGGGAGAGGACAGCCATGGGTGAGATGGGGTGGGGATGCAGGTGGTATCCGGGAGAGACCACAGAGCTCTCTCAAGTGGGCATGATGGGCTTGGGGACAGGAGGAAACAGCCTCAAGTTGCACCAGGGGAGGTTTAGGTTGGATATTAGGAAAAAATTTCTTCATAGAAAGGGTTGTCAAGCATTGGCACAGGCTGCCCAGGGCAGTGGTGGAGTCACCATCCCTGGAAGTGTATAAAAAAGGTGTGAATGTGGCACTTGAGGACATAGTTCAGTGGTGACCACAACGGTGATGGATTGACAGTTGGACTTGTTGATGTTAAAGGTCTTTTCCAACCTTGACAATTCCACCATTCTGCGATTCTATGCATTAATTAATTCAAACCTGGAGGGCCCTACCCCCTTCCCAGCACAGATCTGCCCTGCCCACCACTTCTCCCACGCTCAGGGCAGGGGCTGCTCCATCCTCCCTCTCCAAGGGCAGAAGGGACAAGGCTTGTGTCCTTACTCTGCAGGCAGTCGGCGTTGAGCAGGTCCTGGCACTTCTCGTGGCACTTGACGCCGCACTCGGCGCAGCGCATGCCCTGCCGGGCGATGCCCCACAGGAGCCCCTCGCACTCGTAGCAGTAGGTGGGGGTGGTGGCCGTCCACACCTCGAAGTTGTGGGGCGTCGTGCAGGAGATGGGGTACACTAAGGCTTGCAGGGTCTTCTTGTAAACATGGTTTTTCTGTGCAGGGACAGGAGAGAGAAGGGGGGAGAAAGGCTCAGGCAGGGCAGGGGGTGGCACTTGAGGACACGGGTTGGCGGTGGTGGGTTGATGGTTGCACTTGGTGATCTTAAAGGTCTTGATGCCTTAAGCCCCTAATGTTTTTTTATTTTATTTTTCTAATATTTGTAAGAATTGTAAGTTTTATAAGTAAGTTTTAAAAGCAGCAACCTTCCCCCCCTTGTCCCTTGTTCCTTTCCCTTGTTTATACATTCCCTAACCCTCTTACCCCATTCTATGCTCCCCATATCAATCCTGCTTCTGAATACAGCAGAGTGTTTAGTCTTTTGTCAAGGCAAGGCCTAGACAGTTGACAGAACAGCATATCTGGGCCTAAACCACAGAATACGGTGAGGAATTGGGTAACTATGTACCCTTTGTGCTCTGATGAAGACAAAGATGGGATGAAGAGGGGGTCCCAAAATACACCCCAGACTCATTTCAAGGGGGTGGACCCAGGGCAGTCAAGAGGAAAGGCCAAAGGGTGGGATATTTGGGATTGGATGGATGATATTATAAAATGTAACCTCTCAGGCACGGCCGGCGCACGTCCTGTAACATCTTAGCCTTGGCAAATAAACCCTTTCTTATCTCACCCCTAATTAACTGCTCCTGGAGATTTTTTTTTCAGCACCAAAATACACCGGTAACAGTCTTTTCCAAGATCAATGATGCCATGATTCTATACTCAGCTGCTCTGGCGTTGCCAGAGGACACTGGTGTGGCACACACCCTGCACTTTCACTGCTGGCCCAGCCCCTGAGGCTCAGCCACCCCCCATGACCACCTCCACCCCAGCCCACCCCAGCACCTACCAGCTCCTCATTGTTCAAGGTGCTCGAGGCCAGGGCAGATGTGATTCCCGCTTTCCTGGACTGGACCAGGGACTGTGGGAAAGAAACAGAGTTCCCAAATCCAGCAGAGCATGGAGGGACCCTCCTGCACTCCTTTGGGGTCCCAGTGGCTGTAGAACACCCAGGACAGACCCCAGCCCCAGCCAGGGAGGGCTCCTGGCTGCATTCGGGGGCAGAGGGGACAGCCCAGCTCCCAGTGATGCCAGCATTGCTGTGCAGTGGGACTGGAACCAGTTCAGCAGCCTGTGGCATTCCCAGTTCAGCCCCAGCAGGGCAGAGCCTCTCAACATGTGTCTGAAACCCCTGGGGAGATGGGGTGGGGGGCACTTACCATGGCCTGTGGGCAGCCAGGGCCAGCAAGGGGGGAATAAAAAGGCCATTAGTGCAAACACTTCCCAGGAGAGCCCCTTCCTCAACAGAACCAGTTGGGATGGGGGCAACGCTCCCCCTTCACCCAGCACTGGGTGGGAGGGACTGTGTCCTCAAGCCCAGCACTGGCTGCAGCCTGCAAATCCAGCAGGGAAAGGAAGCAGCCCCCTCAAACCCTGCCCACTGCCCCC